TGGGACTATTGTTATTTGGCCTCAATTCTGAATGTTTTGTTTAGCTTATCTATCCTTCTTTTAAAAAACCCAAAAAACCTAAGAGGAGATGCAGGGATTTCCCTTTCCTTCCTTTCCATAAAGGGAATGGAAAGTTACTTAGTAACAACTCTTTTATATCCTTGATCTTATCAGCTAGTTCAGGAGAAGGGTTTGGCTAATAAGTAATAAGGTGATACACGCACATTTGGCTGTATATATTAATTCCATGCCTATGAATGCAATTGAGGGATCTACATATAGCTGAATTCTGTAGCTTTCAAAAAATATTAATTGTTACTGCCATAAAGACCTTAATCATTAAGAATTTATGTGGTTATAGGGCTTTTTTAGATGAAGGGGTTTAGGTCATATTGTTTGCAGAGATGATTATAAAATGCTTTGTTTTCTGTGATTTACAAAAGAGAGTTTATAATATGCATTAGAAATGTATTACCATTCAGCACTCAGTAGCTGTTTTACTTTTTACGTGATTCCAGAACAGTGATGAACTCTGATCAAGGCTTTAATAAAGTGTTCATCTACAATTTTTTTAGTTCCATTTGTCTATTTACTAGGTTTACAGTATGAAGTAATCATTCTCATCTAGCCTGTTTTTGGTTCTTTCTCCCCATTTCATCTGGTTTGTTTTTTTTTTTTTTCCCTACTCCCCCTTAAACAGATCCGAGATGAGTGGGGCAATCAGATCTGGATCTGTCCTGGGTGTAACAAGCCTGACGACGGGAGCCCGATGATCGGCTGTGACGACTGTGACGACTGGTACCACTGGTAAGTGCCCCAAGCACCCAGCCCACCGGCCATACAGGCCTGTGCTTACTCAGGACAGCACAGGTCATCCTGCAAGGAGTTTCACAGGTACACTTGTGCCTTTGTACCCGTTAAAATGCTCTCCTAGGAACAGCAGGTGGAGCAAAATCATGGTGCCTGTAAAATGTAATTAATTGCAAAAACCAAGACTCTTGGGACTATTGTTATTTGGCCTCAATTCTGAATGTTTTGTTTAGCTTATCTATCCTTCTTTAAAAAAACCCAAAAAACCTAAGAGGAGATGCAGGGATTTCCCTTTCCTTCCTTTCTGGTAATGTTCTGTAAGAGCTGCAGTACTTGACAGTACTGTTAAAAGGTAACCCCTTTGTGGACATGGCACAGATGACAGAAATAAAGGAAGCTTGTCTGTTTTTTAAACCTCTTTACCAGCTCCAAAAACCAAAGAAACTCCACCAAAATGTGTGCAAATAGTCTTCTCATTTTATCTTTAAAATGTCAGATATAAAAAGACAGAAATCTGTCCAGTTATATAATATCTATAAGATAAAAACAAAGTCATTGCTCAGAAGAATTATACTATTCCTGGCTGAAAGGATGAATGAACTAATTAATTTCCCCAATAGGGCCCACGAAAGGGGCATTATGTAATATAATAATCCACATGCCCAACAATAGCACTACATAAATTAGAGCTGTTTAACTTTGATTTCCGGCAAATAGACCATAGACTTAAAAATTACTTAAAAACACAGAAAGGAAAAGAACATACACATATACAAAATATGTTGATCTGCATTTTTTTTGCATGTAGGCCCTGTGTGGGAGTCGTGGCTGCACCACCGGAGGAAATGCAGTGGTTCTGCCCCAAGTGTGCCAACAAGAAGAAGGATAAAAAGCACAAGAAGAGGAAACACCGCACTCACTGATGTCCCCGCGCTGTCCCGACCTAGCGCCAGCAGCCCAAGCTCCTCACCGGCACCTCTGCAGGGGAACTGGTGCCATCCCGCCACCACGTCTGTCCCCCAGCGCCTGCGGATAACGAATCTGGGAAAACCAAGGACGAGATCCCACCATTCACTCTGGATTTTCCCTCTGAAACATGCCAGCCTGTCGCTCCGCAGCAGTGTGATGAAGAAAATCCACAGCAGAGGCCTGGCCCGGGGGCCCCCCACCTCCTCTTTTCTACTTCCAGCAACAAGTATTATTAATAAAAAGACCATATATCTTCCCTTCTGATTTCCTTCATTCTCTCTAGGGCCTTTTCATTAAGGTATCAGATGAGAAGGCAATGTGTACACAGCCTTGACTGTAATTTAAGGATATCATTAGTCTGTATACAGTTTTCAACCCTTTCCTTCTATAGTGAGATAATCATATGATACAAAAGAAAACTCCAGTTGGAGTGTTGGCGAATATTTTTGTGATGAGAATATATGAAGCTTCCCTCTCCCCCCCACCCCCTGTTTTTAGTACTAACATGTAAAATGTTCAGGCTTTTGTGAAATACCTTATATTTTTTAAGAAAAAGGTTTCTATCATGTCCTGTTTGCTTTTGTGCAAATTATTTTTGCTTAACATATTTTATATCTTTGTTGCATTCTAATTTTGCCCTTCTTTAAGCTGCTGGAGTCTCTTCTCACTGCTTGTACATTTCATCAGCTTGTGTAAAAACTTCATACTAAAAGATTTCCCCTAATGTAAATAATAAATATTTATGAAGTAGTTATTTTTAAAATTTTTATCGTGTTTAATTCTGGCTGTCTCTGAAATCCACTGTGATTTCAGCCATATTTGTAATTACTGCGGTACATAAGCAGAGAAGGCTGGAGAAAGAGCCATAGTTCAAAGTCGTTTGCCTTGAGCTAAACCTGTGCAGCACCCAAGAACATTGTGGGGAAGAGGACCCTAGCAGTTGGAAGGAAACAAGGCAATTTAAATCTATAGTTTATGATTTGAAATTGTTTTGTTTGTTATCTATTTTGTTTCTGTAAATTTCTTTAACTGACTTTTATTACAAGGACATGTAGGTTCCATGAAAGTAAAAAAAAAAAAGTATACTGTAGAATTTTGTGTTTATATTGTTTTATTTCTACAAATCTGTTCATTGATATTGTGCTTTAAGGCTGAAATGAAGTATATTATGATTTTTTTTAAGAAAACTCATCAAATTTCAGGGTATCACAAAACTTTATTATATTACTATACTGCCCACTATTTATTATATGTTATAGATGTCTGAGAGGTAAACCAAATATTTTATTTTTAATGTAACATCAAATTTAACTTTATTAGCATATTTTAGCAACTTTGGAATAAATATGGACTTCTACTTGATTTTGAAATAATTCCAATTTGGGCCCGTGTGATGGATATCTTGAATGCTAGAACAAGGGCAACTTTGAACCTAATACAAATATATTAATAGAAAATGTGATTTTTTAATGCCAAGTAAATTACTATTAGTGTATGAATTAGTCATATTTTAAAACGTATTATGTGGTTAGAGAAATGCGGTTTTCTGCCATGAATGTGAAATTGCGAATCAGTGGAATGGAGTAGATCTTTTAAGAGTGCAGGACATCCTTGTCCTTGTTCCAGAGGCCAGAATTTTTCTGTCCCTGCAAAAGAACAAAGCATCTATGTTGAGATATGTGTTTTTTGTTTTATTAATTTGAGATCATTCTAAATACTTTATACAATATTTTCACATGCACAAATATACCCTTTAGTGCTTTTTGGAGAGGGATGAAGGGTGGGGGAAGTGCAAAATAAAGATTATTGGCTATTTCATAGTTTGCTTTTCCATTTTCTTTATTTAGGATTTAGTTCCCTGAGGCATGGTCAGTGGATCCACAGTTGCCACGTGTAAGTGAGCAGGTCATACTAGTGAAATAAGAATGGAGGTGCCTATATATAACTTTTCCCCAATCCCACTGTCTGAGAGACTTCAGCCCCTACTACATTTAAGGAATTTCAATCAGTTTGTTGTCCCTTGCTATTTCATGGTTGCTTCCCTAAATCCAGTTCATGATTTTATAAATGGTCTTTGCAATAATAAAACGAAAGAATCATTTCAGGGGGCTGGAGGGCTCAAGGGATTAGTAATGGAATACAGAGCCTTTCACCTCTAGGTCAGTGAGTCGAATCCAGTCCAGGTCACTAGAGACCAAAAGTTGTCACCATCTTATGACTGTTTAGTGGCCTGTGTGAAATGAACTGGTGGTCTCAGTCTACTGGACAGCTGTCTGTGACACCAACCAAAGGAAGTTCACGAAAAGGCAAAAGAAATGTGCATTAGAAAGTAAAACATCTGTGTTACAAAGAAAAGTTAGAAAGTTGGACGTAGTCATTCTCCATAAACTAACACTGAGGGGATAAAAGAGCAGGTGCCAAGTACCACAGATACCACGAAGAAAATAGAGACTCATTTACTCGATGCGAGCCAAACAAAATAGCAAAAGAAATGTGCATTAGAAAGTAAAACATCTGTGTTACAAAGAAAAGTTAGAAAGTTGGGCGTAGTCATTCTCCATAAACTAACACTGAGGGGATAAAAGAGCAGGTGCCAAGTACCGCAGATACCACGAAGAAAATAGAGACTCATTTACTCGATGCGAGCCAAACAAAATTGGAAAGGAAAAAGCCTGTATTGGACAAGAGGGGTAAACTGGGGAAGATGATTTGAGCAGAAAAAAACTTGAGGGGACCCAAACAGTCAATAAGAAAAAAACTGGGTTTTGACTTTCGAGGGAGAAAGAACTCACGAGAAGCAGCAGGAATTTGATGAACTACTATAACTGAGAATTAGATGCAAAGGAATGGAAAATATTTCCCTTTGGAGGGTTAGAAGTTTTCCACTGTAAGTAAAATCATTGCCTGTTTTAATTTATCCCAGCACTATCATTTGAATAGCATCAATACTTTATGAAGAGAAGTACTCCGGAAAAAAAATTGTCCTGGCTGGTGATTTTTATTGAAGCAGATGGCATTTAAGAAACAGAGAGACCCTCACTCAGGAAACCGAGAAGCTCTGCTGGTGCGATAATCTGCCTTCAGAGCCAGGGGTAGCTGGCAAAGCGTCATGTCTATGGCTGACAAGGTGTTTCTCTTCCCAAGGTGTCTGCAGTTAAGTAACAGTGAGGATCTTTATCCTCTGACTGATTTGTGGTTCCAAATGTCCTGAAGAAAACCAGAGGGTATCAGAGTATTCTGACTCTGTCGGGCCTTTTTCAGAGATAAAATATAGTGCATTACTCTACTGTATCACCTACACCGCCTTTGTTCTCCTTTCAATAGGACGATTAAACAAAGACCTACTAACCAAATTGAAGGATAAAATGAACACTGAGATACAGAAACCCTGCCACTAAGAATGCTAATGAACGAAGTTCACTAAAGGCATGCTAGCTAAGTTTTCAATACAAATAGTTTTATGGCCAATCTCTTCAGATCATAGCAGTTTTCTTTAGAAGTGTAAGTCTAAAAGTAGATGAGTTACTTTGACTGGAGAATGAAATAATAGATAAAGTCCTGAATAACGTCTCTTTCCACAATGGTATCAGTCATCCTTTTAGGAAACTATTTCTTTGAGTATCTTGCATTAGTTGTAGCCTAAAAAGTATAAAGTAACTATTAATGTATGTGTGCAGGCCAGTAGATGGCATCAAAATTGGATATTTATATGGAATTAGATGTAGAAATTAGATATTTAGCTGAAAAGTCGATTCTTCATTTCATTTAAATATAACATATAAGTTCATATAGTCTACATATGAGTTACTCAAACTACTACTAGCTACTTCTTTCATCCCGGACAACTCAGTTTTTAATTTGCTTTGTAGAAGAACAACGTTAAACATTTTTGCATGTTCATGCCACACTTGCTAGGCACATTTCATGACCATGGCAAAGATGTATCATAACCAAGTTCATTTCCAGCAGTCTGGTCTCTGAGGTGCTCCATCCTTTCTGTCTCTCAATGGTTTTGCGATTGTTCGCATAGTATACAGTATGTGAAAATGTATTGCATCAAATCCTAAACATATTCCAACTTAGTCTTTTCCTATTTTTCTACACATAATCTTTCTATCCACCTTAGACTGCAACTGGTTTTTAATGTTAATAGAGCTTTATGCTTTAAATGTTTATATTTACAACAGAATAGCCAAAAGCTTAGCAAATGTTTGTATTAACTGTCCTAGGAACTGGCAGAGCAGACATTATATGAAAAAAAAAAAAAATCAAATGTTTGTATTAACTGTCCTAGGAACTGGCAGAGCAGACATTATATGAAAAAAAAAAAATAGATACAGATACAGATACATACTCTGCAAGATTAAAATGTGTAAGGCTTTCAGAGCAGAAGCATATTTTAGATACTTAGCCGTAAACAATAATATCCTACTATATCCTTGGAAACTAGTTGGTATTTTCTTAACCTTTGAAGTTTTTGTGAGGTTTTTAAAATTTGTTTTTGATTAATGAAACACTTAGAATCTTAAGCAAAACAACACAAACCTGAAGAATGTCATTGTTATTATCCTTAATGTGTTAACTATTGCCAAGTTAAATGGTTTGGAGAAAATGTTTGAGCTGTTCTAGTTAAGTCATGTAGAACATCAGAAGTACTTATCGGAGGAAGTTCAAATCATCCAAAAATATTATCAGGTTATATTCTGATTATTTCTTCTTCTTATACGGTTTGGGATATTGACTAAACTTTTTATGCTTGCTTTTAGAAAGTGAATTCTTTATAACTGGCTTTCTAGATATGCAGTTCCTCATCTCCCCTTCATTCTATTTTGACATGGCTATTTACAACATTCACAAAAACAATTATTAGGCCCAGATGCCCTGCACCCAGCCATATCCACACATTTCTCGAAAAAGTGTTCATTAGTCATCTCTGGGCAAGATTCATCATGTACTGTGGGGATACGAAGATGAGAGAGCGAGCTTGTCCCCAGTGCTGCAGAGAGCTATGACAGGTAATATATCAACAAGGGGAGACACACCTCACCAATGGGTGCAAACCGGAAGTACACAGAAAGATGATTGTTTCTGGCTCCAGTCTGACCAGCTTTCAGCTCTTAAGTCAGTGAGACTGAGGAGACTCTTACCACACAATGTCGTACAACACCATAGACACAGGAATACATATGGTTCCTTGTATATAAAGTTCAGAAAGAGACAAAACACTGTTCTCTTTAGGGATGCATCCAAAGATGAGAAAGCAAGGAAAGGATCCCAATAAAAGTGAGGATGGTGCTATCTCTGTGGGAAGAGACTCTTACCACACAATGTCGTACAACACCATAGACACAGGAATACATATGGTTCCTTGTATGTAAAGTTCAGAAAGAGACAAAACACTGTTCTCTTTAGGGATGCATCCAAAGATGAGAAAGCAAGGAAAGGATCCCAATAAAAGTGGGGATGGTGCTATCTCTGTGGGAAGGAAGGGGGTTTTGATGGGGAAAGAATGAGTGAACTCAGGGCTGCTTCCAGGGTACAAGCAATGTCTTCTTCTTGACATGGGCAGTGGTTATACAGGAATCACTTTATAACTGTTTATTAAAACCATGTACAGCATGGCCTTACAACATCAAGGTCAAGGGTTCTGTTCCCTGCACCAGCCAGCCACCAAAAGGATAAATGAATAAATAAAACTACGTATATAAGTTATGGCCATTTTTCTGCTTGTTATATTCTACAATTTAAAAAGTCTTCATTGAAAAAAAAAAGTTTACAAAATTATAACCTGCCCAGGAAGAATTATTGAATCTGAAACTGAATAAAAACCAAAGATTAGGTCTATCTAGAGTGATAAACCTACTGAAATAGATGCATTCCTGATGCAATATGTGTATATTAAATTGTAAGTCTAGCCATGCTAAATACCTGGGGAGAGTTTTGCTGACAGGAACAATAAAGTGAATTCTCACCAAGGAAATAAGGTAAGAAAGAAAAAAATATTAATAAACACTTGCATAGTTTTTTGTTTATTTTAAGTATGAGGGAAAACCATTTTTTAACTTTAAAGGCTTAGTGAGGCCAACTGCAGCCAGAGCTTCCCAGTAAGGCTGTGGGAGCACACAGCCTTCCTGAGAGCTTAGCTGACATCTACTCAAATGCCTTCTCTACCAAAGGCCCCAAATGGACGTAGGCCTGGAGGTGAGGTTGGTCTCTTGTCTGGTCTTCTATTGTTTTGGGGGAAATGCAACATAGAGCTGGAAAGATGTGAATTTGAAATCCTTTAGGTGGGACATACGTCCTTCAGTGTGACACCAGCTGGTCACCTGCCTGATTCATAGCAATGTTGCACCTATGTGTACTTGCAAGCACATTTCTAGAAAGTGTGCTTCAAATCAAATACTGCTTGAAATATGAAGAAAGAAATGTTCTTTCTTACCATATTTTTACCAAATTTTAGAAAATAAGTTGAATTGGCCAGATCTAGGGCCCTTTTAAGGTGCATACAGTGTTTTTGATAGGCTTTTTACATTAAACCAGTATTTCTGCTTTACGTGTCTTCCTTTGAAATTTATTTAGATCTCTGAATTTTAAGAAATCTAATTAGCCTGGTAGTAGCCAAGAATGCAGTTTTGCAATCAGCACCCGGATTTGAGTCCTGGCTCTGTCATTCAACTGCTGAATGAACTTAAATAAATCATTTAATTTCTCTAAATCTCAGTTTCCTTCCCTGTAGATAAAGAATAAGAACATATGCTTTGGACAGTTGTAAAATTAATGAGTTTGTATATAAAGCATTTAACACATGGTAAGAGCTTGA